ATAGATACATCATAGATCTGTACAGACACCAAACATCAGGTTTTCTCTCTTTGTTATACTGTAAAACAACCAGATAGATACATCATTGATCTGTACAGACACCAAACATCAGGAGTTTTCTCTTTGTTATACCGTAATACAACCAGATAGATTCATCATAGATCTGAACAGACACCAAACATCGGGAGTTCTCTCCCTTACACTACAAGACACAATAGATTTCTCCTTTGTAATGTCAGTACAGATCAAACTCATCAGGAGTTATCTCCCTTGTACTGTAAAGTATAGGTACAAGCAGATGAAGTTAGTGTGTTCTGCTTTATCATTTAGTTATAAATCTTGAGTTCCAATTATTTCGTGTATTTAAAAAACGTCACACCAATTCTGCCAAAAAAATCAATACATGTTCTTCAATGTACATATAATTAACCTATAATTGGAACTACTTATCAAAGAAAGTATATGTATTTTAAAACCTACAAAACAATACATATATACAGTGGAACCTGTCTTACCTGACAACCTGAAAAGTGTGGCAAATTATTTGGATTAGAAAGGGAATCAGAGTACATAGGTTTATTTGGTATTTTTATAAGACAAGAGATTACAGCTGTGTGTTAGTTTTGACAGAATGTCAGATTACTCAGGGGTCAGATTACTTAGATGAGTTTCACTGTCTGTATATATAGCACATTCCATGGAGTCTTACAGCATATTAATCACCGGAAAATGCTACCATCCCAAATCTTGCCGCATCTAAGAAGGAATATGAGCCAACTGCGTTGTCATAGTTACCTGGTTGGCGCGGATGTACTCGGTGACGACGAGGTACACTTGGTTCTTCCCTTTGTGTAGTACAGGTTTCCAGGCAGGTTGCTACAAGCACAGGCATCAACACTGATTTACACAACTACTGAAGAAGAGGACAAACATCAATATTATTTATACAACAGTTTATTAAAGGCAAAGAGATATCTGATATGTTTCGCAGTTCATATTAAACTTGTTTCAAGACCAACTCATGAAATCAACCAAAGCAAGATGCAATCCTTAAATGTTAATGGTCAGACAAGGATTCCAACCCAGGACCCTCCATCAACCATTGCTGTACCAACATAAACTATCTACATAAGACCCCAAAGTACATGTCTGTATTGTCATACAAAGTACATGTCTGTAATGTCATACAAAGTACATGTCTGTAATGTCATACAATGTACATGTCTGTAATGTCATACAAAGTACATGTCTGTAATGTCATACAATGTACATGTCTGTAATGTCATACAAAGTACATGTCTGTAATGTCATACAATGTACATGTCTGTAATGTCATACAAAGTACATGTCTGTAATGTCATACAATGTACATGTCTGTAATGTCATACAAAGTACATGTCTGTAATGTCATACAATGTACATGTCTGTAATGTCATACAAAGTACATGTCTGTAATGTCATACAATGTACATGTCTGTAATGTCATACAAAGTACATGTCTGTAATGTCATACAATGTACATGTCTGTAACGTCATACAATGTACATGTCTGTAATGTCATACAAAGTAAATGTCTGTAATGTCATACAAAGTAAATGTCTGTAATGTCATACAAAGTACATGTCTGTATTGTCATACAAAGTACATGTATGTAATGTCATACAAAGTACATGTCTGTAATGTCATACAAAGTACATGTCTGTATTGTCATACAAAGTACATGTATGTAATGTCATACAAAGTACATGTATGTGATGTCATACAAAGTACATGTATGTAATGTCATACAATGTACATGTCTGTAATGTCATACAAAGTACATGTCTGTATTGTCATACAAAGTACATGTATGTAATCTCATACAAAGTACATGTATGTAATGTCATACAATGTACACAGCATATACTGTAAACCAGGAAATATTTACTGTAGTTTACCTTTTGCCTTTTTTGCCCACACCAATGAGGGCGAATTTAACATGAGAGTTAATACTAGTATACAACATACAATATTAGTTCTGTGTTAAGGGCCAACATGGATTTCATTGGCGAAGGATGAATATTTGACAGGTTGAAAGTTTCCTGGAATACGGTACATACCTTTTGTGTTTTCGATAAAAGACTCGGTTTGTTGTGGACTTTGGACATCACTGTGTCTGGACTGACATCAACGGGCTTCCCAAACGGAGCAGCAGTGTTAAGGTACACATTTAATAGACTGCTTTTCTGTGCTATCTGAGAAAGGAAATGCATAATTGGTAACACATACATGTATATAGATAACCCAAGTTTCCTCTGGCCCTGACACCAGACTTAAGACATTTTGACAGGTAGATGTCAGGTGGCCAACACCAGACATCGAACTGTCGAAATGTCTAAGTCTGGGCCCGTATTCATGAAACCATTTTCATGCTCAAGCATGGATTCTGTGCTCAAACTAACTTTCTTGTAACTCGCTTAAATCATGTGATCATTGAAAAAAGCATTTGCCTTTAAGTCTCTTTAAATGTTTCCCAAATCAATGACAAAATCATATTTATTTTTTTAACTTATAACTGGAACAAGAAATTAGACTTGAGCACAAAATCCAGGCTTGATCATGAGAACGGTTTCATGAATACAGGCCCTGGTGTCAGGGCCGTAGGAAACTCGGGCTAGTATTTAGACACTAAAATTATGTCCAAAATATGGACAACCATTGGTTAAGGAATTTTTCAGATGCTAGTGTCAATATCAATTCTTATGTTGGGAATACTTTTTATCGCATACTCAGAATACTAGGCAATGTAATAAAATCATCAAAACAATGTTTCGCTATGTTATACAATTGTACCTGATGTTGGATCTTAAATGACTTTCTTTTCATATGAGATTTACGAAACCAGTCAAAACAAATTATTTATTTAAGAAAGCTTCTGGCGAGCTATTTAAAATTAAAAATCTGTGACAAATGGTTGAGTATTGGACAAAAAAAAGGATCTCTTTCCAATTCCATCTTACTGACATTGCAAAACTCGTTTAAAAAAACATCCCATACAACAGAAAATTCTTTGAGATTCTCATATCAATAAGCTCAACCAATTAGAAAAGGTTAATTTTCTGACACACGTTTGGTTGCGATAAATGTTTAAGGTGCCAACAAGTTCACACCTCATTTTACATCCAGTTATCATTGCTTTCCGAGTAACAATCAAGTCACATGAACTGACGTTAACATATATTGTAATTGTTGGTTTAGTTTTGCCCCACAATTCGTAAGGTTGAACCTTACGGATATTTACCTCAGCAGCTGTATACTGGCGGAGGTAGTCGGACAGTCCACACAGAAGGGAGAAGCCAAGTGTTACACCCGGTCTGTAGGTACAGGAGATCAATCCCCATCAACAATCAAATTCACTTGATGTATTTTTTCATTTTTATAATAAAAGAAGTACATGTCAGATATGCAGTATGTGACAAATTACATGTCATCTCATGAGAATTGCTCTGAACTGATACAAATGATGTGAATCCTATCTAGAAGGTATTCTGTATTCCCATAAGTATATAAATAAACGTTCAAGACAATCAAACTTCTGGCATATTTATATACATGTATTAGATAGCTTGATAACTACAACTTACACCTGTTTAGCTGTCTACTTACATCTGTATGAGTGGAGGCCTAGTGTTGACACCTTGTGTCACCAAGGGGAGACAACAATACACGATTCCTCTCTGTAACGGATAGAAAACAGTTGCCAAATTAAAGGTTCCAAGAAGCACACTAAAAGTACCTTAAAATTTGAAATATGTATATGCTTCAGTTCCAGAACTAATAATGAATATTTGTGATAACCTGTTGCACTAATAAAAAGGATGATAGAAAGCCTGAGGTGATTGCAGTTATTAGAATGATAAAAAAATCACATTTGAAGGTTTTAGATTGATATTGAATACATGTACATATATATTAAAAAAAAAAAAAAGGCAGATGATTTTTTATTTTCAACGCAAACATCAATCTCTACCTGCATGATGAAGAGCATACCTGTTCTACTACGACGACCGGCCATATTGGTCCGGCACTGGTCATCACCTCATATACCGGCTTCTGTTCCGACTTCTCGCAGGTATCTCTGGCAGTGATAAACTGTGGTAATAGATAAAAATGTAATTTATCAAAACTGTTTTGATAAATTAAAAAGTTATGAAATTGAAAAGATAAAGTGTTCTCTTTCCAATTATTTTTCAATTTTTCAAAAATTTAATTATAATCAACACACATCTATGTAAACAATTGTTTTACAGTTAAATCCAACTGAAGTTGTAGTGAGGTTACTGCATATAGGAAAAATCACCGTGCAGTGGGACAGGGATCTTAACCATTTTGCAATGTGAGACCATATAGAGATTGAACGGGGCTTCATGTTTGATATGGATGTAACCGTTTTGCGTTCATACCGTCATGAAAATTTTAAAAACCACCTATCAGTACATACATTTATATTTTTACTATAGAACAAATGTTTAAATTTATTTATTTGTTCTTAAATAACTAATTAATTTACTGTGTTTTGTTTATGCGTTGTCCTTTAAACAACTTTGGCGGAACAGCCCTATTTCAATAAAATCACCACGTGTTACGTCACGAGAGTTTTTCCTTTCATACTCAAATGAAATGCATCCCTGCTGGTAATGTTCATATAGTGGGTTGCAGTGCAAATGTAATATAGACTATAGAAATCCAGATGTTGGTCTCTGACACTCTTCACTAACATTTTTTAGGAAAGAAAACAACCTGGGAACGCTTTACATATGAATTTCTTACCTTATCGATACCATCCTTGTGGCCCAGCTCAAACAGTAGTCCATTGACAAACTCTGGTACTGTAGGCACAGTGATGTAGTTGTCCTTCTCAAGCAATTTCACTTTCTTTTCGACAAGTGGGAAGTGCCTGTTGTGATATAATGTAATGACTATAGTTCTTTAAAGTAACGGATACCACTGCACCAGTAATAGTTGTAAAGAAGATTTCTGCTCTAGAGCTTTTTATTCGCCTTGGAGTGATATCCCTTACACATGGTAGGAGATAAAGTATATATGAGTTTTTCTCGCTTAGGGTTACAAATGTATTTCTCACTATAAGGTTGTTTCTTTTTATTTTGATGCTAAGCATTAACAATTTCTTGATAGCAACATTGGTAAAGTGTAAGATTGGGAGTAGATTCACTCTCAGAGTTTGGTATTTCTGGTTTTCTTCTTCTTGTTTATTTCTATTATCAAATATCCAATGCAATTCTGTAAAATGTATGGCAATTAAGATTTGTTTAATATGAATTATATTTGTAGAAGATGGCCTCTTCAATACTGGTGCCAATGGTAACACATTTCAACCTGTTGGTACTGTATGAGGGTGTATTTTTGACGATTTTAATACTGTATCCATCTTGTATTACTTTGTGCAAAGTTTTCAATATTGGGTCTCTAGTTTGGTAGTTCTGAAATGGTATTTGACCAAAAAATAATCATGTTCATTTCCCGGTGAAAATAATCATAAACCTAAAACTGTCACTGTATGTATTTGCAGTAATCCAGCATTTGTTTGTCTGTTAAAATGCTCTTTATTAGAGCAATATAGATGCTTATCCTAAAGCTAACAGAATTGCTGAAATGTTGTCCATAATTCATTTAGTGCATTTACTCTATTCCTTTTTCATAAATTATCATAATACCTATCAACACCAAACAAAGGGTTTGAATTTTGGTTTTCAAGAGAGTGAAAAATAACTGGACAGTATAAGTGTGTGTATGAAATAGAGTTGGCCATAACTTTAAAAGATCTCCTTGTCATTTGTCCAACTGTGTTCAATTATGACTATGGTAATAACTTTGTACATGTAGTCCATGTACTACATTATTGCAAATTTTCGTATTGTATATATCATTTTATTGAACTGTACATACATTTGATATAGCACAAGTATGTCAATTTATTTAAATTTATGCAAAGTACCAGATACATGTAAATATACAACTTCATAAGTTATTCTTCATAAGCATGTCGATTATAACTACTCAGATCAGTCGTAAATGTATACATTGCTAACAACACAATGTTATTTTTTAAAGTGCATATGCCATTAGTAAAATTCCGAGACGCACAAACAGTAATGTTTAATATCAATACAGTACTCACCTGGAAAATAGCAGACGCCTACTTTCACTTTGATCAGGATGGGAACTTTTAATGGAAATGATCCATAGACCTCGGATGCTCATGTTGATAGAGAACTAGTTTATTGATGTATTCAAAGACAACAACCATCGTATTTTAATTTGAACGGCACCACCATTTGCGTACATTAAACACATATTCGAGAATACGTTGGTACCCTGACCAGTAACTACAAAGTCCACCTACAGGAAGTGGAATCATTCAAGTAAAGTCATGCATTGTTTTCGAACTAATTGTAATCATTTAGACAAACCAGAAACATTAATTAAGTTCAAAAGAAATGTAATCGTGCATAATTATTGCTTTCGGCTTTAAAGTAAAACAACTGTGCATTATATATCACGTCTTCGCTGTGCTAGCGTAAAAACAATGATATTGATTTTTTTTTCTGGGTGGATAAACGGTGCGGAGCGAATTTGTACCACCTTAAATATTGTCCTACCTAAAATATTGTCCCACACATTATATAAAATTAACTTAATTCATAAACGTTTTTGTCTATGAAGTGTGTGTGTTAATAAAAATATATGTTTGTTTATAATAGTTTTAATCATTTAAAACATAAAAATATCATAAAATACCATTTTAATTGTATATAAAAGGCAGATATTGGGCATTCTTTCTGTCGCCACCGGATGATCTCTTAGACACGGAAGTGTAAATAAAGCGTAGCCTACGTGTGTGAACTCGCGTGCGGACGTGACAGATAGTTGGTAGCTCATTTGCTTCCCATGTCGGAGCAAGACGCTACAACGGAGCCTCCCGAGGGAGGGGGAGACGCCCCTACCCCAGGGGATGCAGGCTTGCGGAATAGAAAAGGCAAGCAGAAGACACAAGCTTCTCCGACGACGCAACAGGAGACTCCTGAAAGTCCAGATACACAAGATGTTCAACAAGACAATCAACCGGCCCCGGCTCAAACTCCGCAACAAATAATACTACAAGCACCACAGCAGGGCGAGGAAATCATTTATGTTCCTTCTAACAGAATTGTCTTAGCTGTTCCAAAATGGATGTTGATTTTGGTGACAATCATATGTGGTATAATTTTTGTTGGACTTGGCGGTTACATGGGTGATGTTATTTGGAAGAAATATTACGGCCTAAACAATGGGTATGGAGAGAATGCTATTACGGCAGTGAAAGTGTCCATTGGAGAGGAGGCCACAGAATTGTTCCTCCAATTTGATCTCGACAAAGATGGAAAGCTGTCAATTGAAGAGTATGAAGCCCTGTATCATAGATTGGCCGGTAGCGGATTTAATGTGAGTAATTATTGAAAAGGCCGTATTGAATTTCTTTTTGAATATTTCTTTTTGAATATTTCATGTTATACAGTATGCAGTGTCAAGTTTAAAAAAATAATTATTGCGAAATACATTTCAGGTAAACCGAAGCTTGTAATGCTCTTCAGCACCTCCTTAATTACAGCGCTTCAGTTTACCCACAGAAGTCTGACGTTTAATCAATATAATTATAACCATCTATATTTAAAAAAAATACCCTGTACTGTATAATTTTCTCTAGTATACATGGTATTTTTGTTATATATATAGACTGTTATACTTATATTGATTAAACGTCAGACTCCTGTGGTTTACCTGAAATGTATTTCGCAATAATTATTTTTTTAAACTTGACAATGGGTATATGGAGAACATGCTACTACAGCAGTAATCTTAACTGTTTGTTAAGATAGGATGGATATCCACGAAAGTTTGTACTACAAAACGTTCTAAAAAGCTTTAAACCACGAAGAAAAATACCCACAAATAATTTGTGTTATACAGTATATGTTTTATATACTCTTTAATATTCTTACATTCTTTATAACTTGGGCAGAAATGAGCAGAAATAATTCATACAATGTATATATATGGAGCAGAGCTGGAATAACTGCAGGTCAAATGGCATGCGAGAAGTAACACGTCGCTGAGTTAGTTACCATAAAGTCAAATCTAGTATCAAAACTGTTTCCTGCTGTTGCATTTTCCTGGTCCTGTTACAACCTGTGGCAACCAAATAAGTACAAGGCTCAATTATATACCTGGAACAAGGATGGGAAGCCACATCAATCAATCAACCAATCAGAATGTGGTCTTGGTCGCAGTTAGACTTATATATATATATACATTGTTCAAAAAGGATAAATGAAAATGTACCAGATCATTATCAGTTCTCCTGTCTAAAACTTTGTAGGTCCTGGGGTTTTGTCACGGTGCTAAACCATTACTAGCAAAGTTGGATTAAAATTTCAAAAACAAGCCAAATTCATAGTTGAGTTTTTGTTTCAAAATGCACACTGTAAATTAACATTCATTAAGTGGCAAGTTGAATGTTATTTATACTTTAATTGACATTTATTTCTTACAATGCTTTGACAATATCGCAATGTAAGTTGGCTCGAAACCACTCTTCTGACGGTGAATTATTGTTTACCATTACAATAAATAAAAATTGTACTTTAGATTTATTTTTCAGTAAATGTATATATATTCTTTTTAATTTGTTGATACTATGAAGCTAATTCATTACAAACAGCTCTTAATGTAATATTACCCGATCATGTGAGGAGGATCGTTGCAGCCCTAACTGTCGCCTTATAATTGTAACTTCTAAACAGTTGTCTAAAACATCCTGGCTGAAATGACCAGCCCCTAGCTACAAGTTAGGTTGACAGAACACACGTATGTGTTTGTCAGAAAACTGTTGACCTTGAGTCCGAGGTATACTTGTGCGCTTGAGATCTTATTCCATAGTGAGAAAACTAAGCGTTTGATCAATACGCCTAGATCATATGATTATTCACAGGAAATCGTAGGAAAGGGGATCAAGTCAATGGTCAGCTGAACATTGTACGTTATTTAACCTTATTAGTTTCCTGTCACACGGGCTAGCAGTATAGTGTCCTGAAACAAGCTAAGCTCTCAATGCAGGTTCACAGCTGAATGTTAATTTTCACTACATTGGCCAGTCACAGTCATTAAGCTAGCCCAGTGGGGAAAATCACTAACCATTGGGCATCTGGCATGTCATGATGATAAGCATACTTGGTAAATAATTTTAAATATCCATCGGGGAGATATATAAAACATACTCAGAATAAAAATCATAAATAATTAAAATGTGTGTATGTACACCCTAAGGTAAAAATAACACGTTTAAATGGCATCTGTTCTGTACGACGAAATCATCAGATCTTACAAAATAGGAATTTAGTTTGCAAATCCATTGGTTAAAAATGCTCAATTTTAGGGTAAAATATCAGGATTTCCTAGCTTATTTTAAACTTGCAGCACTGATCATGTCAGGAACACTATATTTATGACCCTTGTGAAAATATATTTTAAGTTTTGTCTACCTACCAGAAGCAAAAACATAATATGTGACATTGTTTGCCCAAAACACAGTTAAGGATCCCTGTATCACTGTACTCTTCCAAAAACTGATTATGAATTGGAGATTCTTTTTAGCAGCTTGACAAATTGACAATTGTTAGCTTATTAAAAAATCTTATCTGAAAAGAAATCCATACTTTTATCTTGTGGAACCTTTATGAAAAAATACTACATGTTACTGATGTAGTAATAAAGATAGTACAAAATATAACAATCTGAGAGTAAAAAATGCAATAGGGCCAGTAGACCAGGATTCAGACTCTTGACCTTCACTCACAATATGTTGACTCAACTGAGGAGCTAAATGATCTGATAATGTAAATACCTTGCTCTATCCCACTACGGTAAAGTCTTAAATAACTTACCTAGGTAAGGGGAGTTTACTGTATGACCAAACAAAACATATTTGGTATTTCTGGTAACCCCTACCTACCCTAATTTTTTGTGTCTACCCTAAACTTTTGAAGGCAATTTTCAAAGAAGCACTGCTAAAGTCAAGAATACTCCTATATATACACCACATAAAATTATCTTTAAAACTAAAACTTGTAACCTACCCTAAAATTGTTTGTCTGGCCTAGCTATTATATTGAAAGAAAAAAACCTATAGGTGATCATGAATGTTCTTGTATTTGTCTGCAGTGGGATACCTGAGATCTTTAAAAGTCCACACAGTTATACATGTATAATCAGTCATGATCACGTAATGTGTGAATCATTGAAACTTGACAAAACAAGTCTAGAATTTTACAGGTATTTAAACAATTGTTTAAGTCAGTGTCGGGCAATTTCAGGAAGACCAATTGTAGCAAAGTACTGTACATATAAAGTTTTCTTATCTAGATTTAGATGGCTCAATAAAAATTTGTGCAATGTCATTAAAAATCATTCCTGTTCAGTAGACTGTAAAATGCTTGCATGAATTTCGAAGAACCTCAACTTGTTCAAGATCATGCACAAACAGGCAGTTAAATATGATTCATTTTTACCTCAAAGACATGTGTACTTGCAAACCTTTTGAAATTTCCATGGGGGAGATTCTGCATGCTCAAAATAAAAGAAATATATAAAATGTGAGTATGCACTCCCTTAGAGACAAAATAACCCTTAAAAATTACATAATTTGAGTTGTTCTTTCAGATGAAACCATCAGATCTTAGAAAAAATGAATAGTTTTATTGTTTAGCAAATCTAATGGCTGAAAATGGAAAAATGCTTATCTTTAAGGTCCATGATAAGGAGTCTCCCTCTTGAATAGGGAGAGTTGACAAACATGTATATCGTGTCCACCAATCATTAAAATAGATTTTGAAGTAATGAATATTTTGCTAAAGTGTTAATTGGAACATATTTCTACACTTAAAAAGAAAAATACCCAAAGTTCTTGGGAGAGATGAAATTGAAAGGCATATATGGGGAAAAAATCATTCTACAAGTTTTATTTTGCATATAAAATTCTAACCAATTAAATTCTTAATGTAGTCTATAGAATGTGGTTGAGTAGATCTAGAATATTTTGAGGATGAAAAAATCCACATTCTATTACACAAAAAGCAACCTGTGTATAATACATATATGTCTTTTTTAAATTTGAAAGATGATGTGTATTTGAAATGTTGTCTATAGGTCTCAGCCCCACCTGAGTTTAAACAGGAAATTCAGGACGATGACGAGGTTATCACAGTCAAGGCTCATTTCAAGCCACTTCTTCTGGAAACAATGACCAAAGATTTGGACGAGACGGTGAGTATATCAGTATTTTCTTCCTTTTATATTTAAGTGATCCCAAAACTACAGATAAAAAAATCAATAAGGAAAAAACATTCTGTGACATCTGCAGTTATGCTTTCCTATGATGTTTTTTTATGGAGGTCTTGTGGTCGCAGTTGATAGCGCACTTGCCTTGCACCATCAGACGTGAAAAGGTATTGGGTCACCTGTCCGACCACTGGCGTGGGTTTTCTCCAGGTACTCCGGTTTCCTCCCACATTAAACCCCCCCCCCACACGCTTACATCCGGGCCAACAAGAGTGATTAATATAAGTTGATAAAACTTGTTTCATAATCGTTGTAAAATAAATAAAGTTTATATATGAACAATTTTAAGTTATGGATTTGTACCTTGAAAACTCCCAGGTTGTTTGTCAGGCGACCCCATACCTTTTCTGGTTGAACCAAAGCCAATTTGTTTGTGAAAGATGAATGCGCTATCCACTGCACCCACCAAAGTTGTCCACCTAAAATTTCTACCTTATAATGTTGTATGCATGTATTGACAGAAACTGATCCTCTGTTAACTTAACTTAATGGCTGTCACGATTTACTGTTGATGGGTTATAGTAGCCTTGTTATCTAGCAAGTTTAAATATTTACAGGTAATTAATGGTCGAAGCTCCATATGTATAATTTTTATTTTTAGTCGTGGATGTGATCAAATGCTTTTTATCTCGTTGGTTAATTAGGAGCACATTATTTTTGGGGTTCAACTCTGGATGAACTTATAAGATAAAATGCCCTGCTCATGACCGCGTTGCCATTTTCATTTCTGGGTCCATTGGTTCATTTTCTTTATAACTCCAAGATCATTAAACATGTTTTTAGTAAAATATATCTCCTTTTGAGTGATTAATTCAACAAATGAAAATTTGGAATTGATAATAAGACTCAGCTGTGTAATATTTACAAATTTATAAGGGAAAGAATCTTAAAAACTATTCATACAAATTTGTATGAATGGCTAAACTGGTTGTATACATGAACAATTTGAAATTTAGTGTTTTATGTTAATCCTTGTCAAAACTTGAAAATGTTTAGCTGTCAATTTTTAAACCAAGATGACATTGGCAACTGGAGAACCGAATTATCATAGACCTATATAAATATAATGGTACATACTGTATGATTGCAATTGGCCAAGTAATGTTGGAAAAAACACTTATCTGAAATTATCATAGTTTCACAATGTAGGAGAACAAATTAGGCCAAAATGCAAGATCTTCAAATTGTCAGCGTCAATTATATATATGATAAGGTTTCATTTCAAGTGTCGATCTGATATGTAATAAAACTACATGTGTAATCTAATCAATCTTGCCAGTTTGTTGGTGGCGGACTCGACTCACTGGCTGGACTGAAGGGATGGACAAAGCCCAACATTGAGTGGACAAACCTCGGGGTGAAACACTTCAAGTCGTTCTTCCCGAAGAAAAACATAACGATGTCGAGTCTGGGTGAAGTGTACTTCATCTACGAGAACAGTCCGGGTAATCACGGTACGAACCACATGTCAAGTAACCGGTACTACCCCCCACAGCTGGAGGAGAGCCTCGTTGTCATTCATCGCATGCTCAACATGTTCCATCCTCGTCCATTCATCCGGAACCGGTTCTCTCCCCAGGGAGCTGTAGCGTGTGTCCGGGCCTTTAATGATGAGTATGTGGACATAGCATTCAGGTGAGACAAAGTATAAGATAATTACGTTTCTGATAAAATAATGCCAGATCTTGCAAATAATAAAACAATTAATATCTAGTGTTTCTAGATAAATAATGCCCGATGTTTCTGTTAAAATAATATCCAATATTTCTAGTAACATGATGCCAAATGTATCCTTTGATCATCAAAGACATTCTTTAATATCATGAGTGGTCTCAAGGCAGGTTTTAATTTGGTAATGGTGGTCTCCTAAGACAGGTTTTAAAATAACAGGGATGGTCTCAACTTTCAAAGTAGATATTATTAATACTTGAGTGGTCTCTAAAGGCTGGGTTTAACATCTTAACCCTTTCACCCCTATGTTACTTGAGTAGACTCTTTCATGCATTGATATGGATGAGTCCATTATGGTCTACAGTGGTGGTAGGGATAATGGTGTTTTCTGATGGCAGAATTTAATATCACAAGAGTGGTCTCTAAAGGCATATTTTAACATCACAAGGGTAATTTTTCAATGCGTGATTCACAATATGTAATTCTGTCTTCAGAATTCATGGAGAGTTCCAGCTGAACGAACCACCGTTTTACCCGTTTTGGTACACACCGGGACAGTTTACCGGAAGCCTGGTGATGTCTCGGGACCGTAAAAAGATCGTACACTTCCATATGTATGTTCCCACAGAAAACAAGCTGAATATCGGTAAGATTCATTGATCCTCAAGGCAGTGCAGAGAGTTTCATGTGACTATATCTAACACTATATTTTTGTATAGAAAAATCGCCCACATTTAGATTACCTGAAGATTTACTTACTCCTAGATTATCTATTCACTGCTTCAGAGTAAAATATAGTGGTTGATCAGGTGGCGTACTCGCCTATAACCAGAACAGCTGGGGTTTGATACCCCGATCAGATGTGAAAATGTATAGGGTCTCTTGGCTGACTAGTTGGGTTTTCTCCATGTTTCCTCCCAAATTATGACCCTCTAGATCTGCATGGTTCCATCAGGGTGAATAATAAGCTAAATTAGTTAGAAAAAACTTATTTCAAATTAGTTAGAAAAAACTTATTTCAAAAGTGTTGTAAAATAAATCAAGTTTGTGCTTTGTATTTTGAAGTGGTTATGGGAGGAAAAGGTAGGAAATAACTTAAAAGAAAATTTTCTTTCTAAACACAAAAATTAAAATATGTCTACAGACATGGAGTGGTTGAACGGTCCTCTGGAAGGTGAGAATATGGAGGTAGATATCGGCTTCCAGCCACAGATGGAGGTGACGATTACAGCTCCCTCCGTACCCCTCACAAGTGAAAACCTCTACCAGAAGGACTTAGAGGTTCCTGTTGACCTCAGCATGGAAGACAAGGTCAAGGACATTAAGTGGACAGGGGAGATAACTATGACAGAGGCCAGGAAAAACATGGAAGTCAAGATGTATCCATTTAAACAGGTGAGACATTGTAAAGAGTGCTTTGTTATACTGCCATCATGTGTGCTATGGAATTTTGTCATTAAAAAGGAGTGTGGCAATGTTCAGAAGGAACTTTATAGAGATATTCCTATGAACGAAGGCACGGTAATCTAATGGTAGGGTTGCGAGTTCGAGTCTCGTCACGGCACTGTGTTGTATCTTTGAACAAGATACTTTACTCTGCTTGTTCCAGTGTACGCAGTTGGTATTGTTTAATGCTAGCTGTGAGCACCGAAACTGGAGCACCGACTGTATGCTCCCCAGTGAGTTGAGAAAGATATTGGCTGATTGCAAAGGCCCCATAACCACAGATAACAATTTGTGAACTGCTTTGAGACGACCTACGGCCTAGATTGTGATAAAGCGGTATATAAGAACCTCAAATTAGTATTATTGTTATTTAGTAAAAATGGAAAGTTGCAATTGAAGAACAAGTTAGTAATTACATTTAAAAATTCTTGTATGACTGTGTATGTGATATGTGAAAGTTAAATATTTCTGTTTCAATGATCAAAATTACTTTTTGTAGGTGGAGTATTTCAACTTCACTAATTCGTTTGAGAAAGCAAAGGAGGAGAGGAAGCTGGTGCATTCCATATTACTTTGGGGTGCACTGGATGATCAGAGTTGCTGAGGTTCCGGGCGGACTCTCAGGGAAACGTCCCTGGAAAGTCCGCCCGTTGTTTCTCTCCTCCAGGAGAATTTCATCAGCAGTTGGTTCCTCATCGCTGATTTGAAGGTAAGAAAGTCTCGACAGCTTCTCCTGAAGTACTGTATAGATTTTAATGATTGTATACATGTTAACAATGCAGTTTAGTTTTCATTGCAAATGGTTAAACGGTATCTAAGCGTATTACAATTATTGGGGTATTGGTTAGCCTGTTGTTTACAATTCTAGTTGGTATATGATTTTTCCAAAAATTATGTCAACATAAACAGGCAATGAAAGGATATCCAGTAGTTATATACTAGGTATATATATATGGGGCAAAGAAATAATTCCAACAGTGTGGACAAGTTTAGGTTGTCAAATTTTCGGAGCGACCCGCTCCTTTTTCAAGACACAGTGAAACAGAACAGTTACATGTACATATACATCATATTACAAGAAGATAGAATTGATATATTATAATTGAAAATATAGCTATTATATAAAACCAATAGTCCCCTTGGCTAAAGACAGCCGAAGGCAGCAATTAAGCTGAGAGAATCGCGGACAAGGAACGCTGATGTAGATGACCTATTCTTGCGCAAGATGCACTATCATATAAAGTGAGTCAATGAGAGATATCAAAGACGTGGAACATGTGCATGTGCATGTGGAAATCTGGCCCGGTAAATGTGAAAAATCTCCAATTTGCTACGGAATGTCTCATTAGTCGCCTCTCAATACTGCGATGGATCTAACAGTCACAGCAGGGGGTCCACACTTAGTTGCCTTTTTTAGTTTGCAGGAATAATGCATACATTACTCTTTTTAATATCAAAAAAATATCTTCATTCCAATTTTGAAATCACCTTTTGTAGTTCACCAAGTAAATTTGATTTAATGACGATATTGGATGCTTCACAAGAAAAGAAACATTTATGATTCAGAATTATCACAGAGAATTTCAATAAAAAGGTTTAACAGAGATAGCTCTAACACTGGGTTAAGAAAGAGAAATCAGAAGTAAAGTTGCTTTTTATGTATTTGGTGTTGTAAGTTTTATTTTGTTGCACAGCCCTGTCATCAGCAGGGTTATAAACTTTTCCACAATGAAAGCCCCACTTTGTAGAGTTACAAACTAATTAGATATTTTGTCATTTTTGCAGGATCTTGAAAAAGATACTCATCAGCCTGAGGCGAGCAAGCTGGCTAAACATTTTCTATCAAACTATAAATTTCCTGTAATGATGATTGTGTCTCTCCCTAACGGCACTATCATCCACAAGGTCAACGCAAACGAGTTCATGGAGACAGACGCACCACTTACCTCCATCATAGAGTATGCGTAAGTATTTTGCTTTTTGTCAATATCATCTGCTAAGCCTAAGGCTAAGGGTTGATGATTTCATGTTTCAACCTCATCCAAAGTCAGTAGTTGTTATTGATAGGGGGGTGAAGCATGGGTTTACTGAAATTATTCCTTAGCATGGGCTTATTACAGGAAATTTACATCAATGTTGATTTGTACAACATATGAAAAATAAAAAATAAAAACAAGCTATATGGGGGCAGTGCTCATTAGTGTATAAGCATGTCATAATGTTGAGTATAAACTCATGCAGTATGACTTATTGTGACATCATCAAATGATAATGAAATTAAGTCACAGACTCCAGATCATATTATAATGCCATAATGGAGACAATAGATAAGGAGCCAATATGGCTAAATTTCAGACTTCAGGAATGACACGGAAAAGCCTTTTTTGTTAAATGTATGCAGAACTTCTTGTTCATGTGAGAAACGGAATGTTAGATTTATTTCTTTTTCATTTGAGATTTATGAAACTGATCAGGATTTTTTATTTTTAGCTTGCCAACGGCTCGTTGTTTCATAAATCTCATATAAAATGGAAGCTTATATTTAAAGAATAAAACATACAGCATAATTTTATGTAAACAACATGATATCTCAGAAAAAAACATTGATGATGAAGACAATACATTAGTTTGAGCCTGTATGATCGGGTATGATTGTGTGTGTGCTATTTGAAAAGTACAACAGTTGCATGTTACGTTTTGACTGGCATTGTATTGAAATTCATGTTGCATGTTTGCTGAGACTTGCATATCACTTAAGTTACGATAATTTAAACTTTGTATTTTAACTTACCCTGGTAATGTTTTTCGTTTGAGCCTTTGTTTTCATGTTGCATCTTTGCCGAGACCTGCATATCACTTAAGTTATAATATATAATCTTCGTATTTTAACTTACTCTGGTAATGTTTTTCGTTTGAGCCTTGTTGATGCCCTCTTTGTCGTCAAGTGCTCGAGTGTTTCAAATGACTAAGTCTGAATTTACAAGACTTCATAGTAAAATATTAAAATCTTATCAAATCATGTAAATTGAACTGACTGAACATATAAATAAATCTTGTAAACTAATTGTTGTTACTAACAAATCGTATTGTTCAATTCATTTTGTTAACAATTTGGGTAAAGTTAGACTAAATAACTAACAAGTATTAATACATTTTGTTTTAAATAGCATGTATTTATTTATTTTAATGGTATATAAGCCTACCTGATAATATTGGGCCATACTAAAAAAAACATTGTTTGCAATTTTCCTTCTCACATTCGTTTCAGTGGTTAGGTAGGTAGGGATTTTTGTTAATTTCAGAAATTTCGTATATAAAAACAGTGATTTTTTTTATCAAGAAAACTTTTTTTTTTTACGAAAAGTTCCCCAAAAAATTTGAGTAGCTGCCATTTTCAGTGAGTCGATAACATTATGCAAACTACAAACAGACATTTTTCTTATGATGGCCTTGTGTTGATTTCTAGCCATCTGACAACTATATATAATTGGACATTAAATCATTGAAAAATCTCTCTCTCAGACTAGCATGTAAAATTTTTTTTTTTTGTATTTTGATAGTAAGTAATAGGAAAATGTCTTGATTTTTTCCCTTGCCATCTTCGTTTTATCACGGTAACCGTTTCTAACCTAACCTAACCTCTGGAGTTGTAGTCCACCTTAGCTTCTTGTCCATTCTTTAGAAGTTTATACCATTTGGCCCTATACTATATATTCGTACTGTACTGTACTGTACTCACCTCTCCCGTGTGTTTAATATTTTCTTTATCCTACCATAACCCTTGATTACAGATATAAGCCCTCATACAGAGATTTTAAACATTGTTTGGGCTGAAGTCTAACATTTATAAACATTTAATAGAGAAATGTGAATACTCTTTTAATATTGACACATTCATAAATTTTACATGTAGATGAAAATATTAAGATTTACACTCCTGTAAACTTCCCTTTTTTATACAGTATTCCTTAGTATACAAGATAGCTGAAAAGTTAAGCCTCATCTCCATTGAAAATATGGATAAACTGAGTATTTACCGAACCGTTGGTTTTTCAGCATTGGGAAATGTTTGTAAAGCACACGAACCAAGATTATTTTTTTTTAAATTGATTCCGTAATTTCCCATAGTCCTAATTTTAATGATACATGTTTATTCCTTATTTCAAAGGCATTTGCATCTTTGAAATCAGAAATTTAAGTGTTGTGTGTATTTGCTAGATTAACTCTAGTTTAAGGCGGTAAAGGGATTACTAAAGGACGGAGGGAAAAATGCATGGCTTCAATTCGCTTATTTCCAGGGATAAAAGTGATGTAGTTGAAACAGCACCTAATGGGAAAATATTTGGGACAAGGCGTATCGGAGCAAATAAAGGTGTCGGAGACAAAGAAAAACCAGAGGAGGAACTACCTCCAAAGGAAGGGTAGGTATTAAACAACAGATTACTCACGGCGAGCGTCGGATTGTGTCTCCGAGTGTATACAATAACACAATCGTACCAACGGCTGTTTGTGTCGCAGCGTTAAATGATAAATAGGCTGTAAGTCTGACCCCTTATACAACATATGTATGTAGTTTTAAAATTTAGTACAAAAGGATATTTTGCTTGATAAAATAGACCAAATTTGAATCTGTGTGCTCATGCTATTGGGAAACCAAGTCCTTCTTTGGTTGGATATAGGGGCTATAAAATAATCGCAGAGAGGTTCATGTATTTTTTTTTTTAATTTTGATATCAGAAATATATTTAAAAGAAATGGTACAGATCGACTTTAAAAATTTTTAAAAAAAATTCTCGTATTGAGACATTTGTATATATATCTATATGTATTTAAGGACAAAATGGAGCATGTAGGGCAGGTTCCTGTATATATTCAATACATGGTGCATTGTGAGTTTGCATGGGATACTTTCTATTAGACTCTGTAACATTTACTGTCCATGTATATGCATTCAAAATATTTCCGACATTTTATAGAGCTATAGAGCTTTGTACTACTGGTATATAAATTGGGTTGTTCTGTGCCTGTAATAAGCCCAGGCCCATATCACAGCTTTAACAGATAGTTGACANGGGGGGGGGGGGGGGGGGGGGGGGGGACGAGGTTGAGTACTTAGTTTCATAACCTTATATGTGATATTTAAGAATCATCCGATATTTTAAAAGTGCTTTTATGATTGTTTTGCCTTCAGATGACTACCTGGTACAAATGTACTTCAAATTTTAACACCTGCAGTTTTCACTATAAATTCAATAATTTTGAAGAAAAAAAAATAAAGATTGAACATTTTATTTCACATCCCATTAATTAAGCTAACAAGGCTTTGAACATCTGGGCCAAGAACTAGAATTTAAATCATTCACCCCTGGGTATTTACAGTAGACTGTGCAGTTCATTGATTTGGAAATTCTAAGTGTGACTTTAGGGGGTCCAAGGGTTAATGACAGATGAAATAGTTTCCCTATATTACCACTGACAAAAGTTCTCAGTCCAGTGTTAGATAAAGTTTTATCAAAAGGTGAGCACCCGGACCCAGAACCATAACTTAGTACTGGAAACATTTCCCCAACCAGAGATATCTCTGTCAAGTGTTAGATAAAGTTTTTATCACAAGGTGAGCAGTCGGACCCAGAACCATAACTTAGTACTGGAAACATTTCCACTAACCAGAGATATCTCTTTCCTTAAGGTTAGATAAAGTTATATGACAAGGAAATGGCGGGCATAGGTTCAAGGTTTAAGGTCCATAACTTAGTAATAGAGAAGTAAAACTTCCCCCTATAGCTAACTAGAGATATATCTCTGTCGTAAATAACGTAAAGCTCTACCTCAAGATAATGACGAGCATACTTGTAGGTTTTAATTGAAAGGATACCAGTAATCAGGGGAAAATCCTGGAATTTGAGAGCAGTGGACCATTTTCACCATTTTTTAGACAATATCAAAATTAAGAAGGGCAATTGTGGGAAAAATTAAAAGAAAATTGAAATATAGGGGTATCTGAATTGTCCCATGGACCCTCTAGGATTGTCCTTGGTAGTTCACTCTATAAAGTGTTGTGTGTTTATTTCTTTTACATGATGTAGTAGTGTTGACTGTAGCATAGTTTCTGTGTGATACATCAATCTGTTGGCGGTCACTAATAATGAATACTTCAGACTTCTTTAGAGTTTTTGTTCCCCTTTGAACACTTCATTTGGGCATAAAATCGACAAGTTGTCCAGTCGTGTACCAGCTAGCTGTCTTTGACCCTTTTGTAACTGTAAATCATAATGAACTTATCCAGATCAAAGCATAGTATAGTTTATTAAAGTTATGTAGGGGTGAAAGGGGTAAGGGCTGAACAAAAAAGCGTCTTTTATCTGACATTTTGTTAAAGAGTCAACGTCTACAACTCAATGTTAATAGAGAGTATGCCTATGTCACCTGTGCTTTACATTGTCAAAGGCTGAGCTTGGATGCTGAAAAGATGCTGTATATACGTAGAGTAACTAGTACATGCAGACACTCGGAAAAGACAGTATGCAGCATTCTTTGCTAAAGTGTTAGTAAACTATCGCTTACTTTCCTGCGCTTTTTGACATTAGCAGCACATCTGTCTGCAATCACCATTAGGATTGAAAGTGCCAGTTTAAGTCATGGAATATAACTTAAACAACTGTCTGATCATTAAAGTGTTGGGGAGGGGGAAGGGATGGTATACAGCTAGCAGGAAATCAGTCTGTCTGTCCCTCCATTTGTCTGTGGACACAAACTTGTTCAGGCTACTTCTGCTAAAGTAATATATACATTGTAGCTTTCAGTTCGACTTTGTACACATCACCATCAATGTACTAACATATGTTGACAACCTGTAGCAATTTGTTTTCTCCACAGAGTTATTGCCACTTTATGAGTCTTGTATAACAATATTGTATAATGATCAGACAACTTTAGAGTCCCTCTGAGACCTGGTAGAGGCATATGTAGTTATACATATTTTATAATAATGTATCCCCTTTTAGTTTTGACTGAGTGGGACTGGGGTATTCAAACTGCAGATACATTGTTTGGTTATTGGTTGGTTTTGAGTTTGGCTCAGGTACTATCACATATGTTTTTTAACAACCCTGGGAGATTAGCAAAGTGACTTCAACAAAATTATAATAAGCCAGGGGCAGTTCACCCCAACTATCTTATCTTATTACAAACACTTGGTCATGCAGATGGAAGCGGAGTGGAAAATGATTCAAACTGCATGTAATTGGTTATAGGAATGTTCAGGCATGCTCCTACGTGTGGTGATGGTTTTGTATTGTCCTTTCAATGGTACTTGCATTATTATATACTGATGTGGATTGTTTGTGTACTGTATTAATTTTATAATGGCAAGGCTGGATAGGACTCTCAACAGGTACTGTACATTATCTTAACCTACAGTTTTTAGCTCACCTGGCCCGAAGGGCCAAGTGAGCTTATCCCATGGTGCAGCGTCCGTCGTCTGGCGTCCGTCAACTTTTTCCTTTAAAATGCTACTTGTCCTGAATGGCTCAGAGGATTTTGACCAAATTTGGTCAGGAGCATCATTGGCCAAAGGGTTCTCAGTTTTGTATAAACGGAGGGTATAACCCCCCTGGGGGCAGAGGGGCGGGGCCAAATAGGGGGAAAATAGGTAAATCTTTAAAAATCTTCTTCTTCTCAACCAATAGAAGGATTTTGACCAAATTTGTCCTAGAGCATCTTTGGACAAAGGAGACTCAAGTTTGTATAAACGGAGGGTGTGG